TGTGTGTGTGTGTGTGTGTGTGTGAGAGACCTCCTGCTGACCAAAGGGTCATAAACGCAGAAAGCTTACATCAAATAGAAGCAGATCTTCCAGATAGGATGTATCTGCAATAAAACATTACAGCCCCCCACCCAGAACCTTGACAATCTGGGGGGAAGGACAGTGGAATCCTTTTCATCAGAGTTGGCAAGCATAGAAATGACAACATTTAACAATTCACTCTAATAGTTATTACAAATGGAACAGACTTGACTGGAGGATAGGAAAGGGAAAGACGTAGACCAGAGAAGTTAATGAAAAACAGAGGGAAAGAGGGAGTGAGAAAAGATATTAAAAAGTCCACTGAATCACCTACTGGAAGAAAAAAAAAACAAGCAGAAGGAGAACAACACAGTAGGGAGACTACAGCAACAACCTAGATAAGTAAAAGTAAATAATAAATATTGAATGTTCTTGAGCAGGACACAAGCCTGACAACGCACGGTATGCTTTGAGACAGCAGCCAAGGAAGATATAGTGTGTATCTGTGCACGCCTGTGAGCACGAGCATGCTTGTATTCAAAAGGTTTCCCCATGTAACTATCTGATGAAGCAAGCACGGAGGAGATCCGGGCGCCAGAGCAGTCTGAGCCCCGGACCCAGAGGCCCGAGGCCCGAGGGCACCCAAATTTCCGGAAGGGGCCCGACCGATCAATGGGTGCCAGGCCTCTGCCAAGCAACCACCAGAAGTGAGTCAGTGCATACCTGAGTGCCCAGCCCCGAACATCGAGAAACACCAATGCACCGATGGTTGAGGGTATCTGAGATGTTCCCAGAGAGGTGAAGTCTAATGGTGTGTTCACACCGAACACGATAGACGCGAGTGAAAACGCCCCTAATTTGACGCGTGCACATTCGCGTGTCCAAGAAAACTCCATCGCGCCTCAGAAATGCATATTTTGACGTGCGTGAACCGGAAATGTAGGAGGAATGTGGGAGGAAGTTGTGCCAGACCGGTATCTTTGCTAGATGGCAGCTGTCGAGCTAGTGTTTGAAGAGAGAGTCTCCCTTCTCTATTTACTGTGGAGAGCAGAGCAGCGGCGTTAAGGACGTCCTCGCCGTACCTGGGTTCATCAGTGCTTCCTGTACATCTGATGCTACAAGTACATACCTGTGGGTGCAGCAGCAGGAGCTCAGGGACTGGGAGCCCGGAGAAGCAACAGGGGATGCTCTGCTGCAGAATCAGTTGGTTCTATCAAGACGGTATTAAATGTTAACAGGTTGAAAACAATAGTCATATTGTCAGAGAAAGTATATATAGTGGTCCCTCATTTATTGCAGCAGGGGTTCTCAGAATAACTAGCCCCTCGCCACGCACTTTATACACTGTTTTCCCCACACACATGAACATTAGTCACAGTTCTCACAAGTTGATTCTCAAAGTGCAAACCTTTGTAGATTGCAAAACGTAAAAGTATTATTATGCCGTGTTTTGTCTTCATCTGCCCGCCACTTTCGTGCGCCTTTTTCCCTCGCGGTGCAGGTGTCTATTTCTGAATGAGGGTCATAGTTATGGGTGTTTTTGTGCTGTTTTTTCTATTAAACGTGATGGTTATCAAAACCAAACGTGATAAATTTGGCAAGCGCAGGAGACACAGCACAGAAGAGATTTGTCAATCAGGCTACATAATGCAATGCTGCACTCCAATAAAAAAAAATCAGCAAAAAAGCAAAGCAGTGACGGATGAACAGCGGGACCACTGTGTGCTGTTTATTAATAAACAATAAAATATATTCCTATATGACAACATGCATAAAAGCAGAACGGTATTTGTACGTCAGTGGGAAAATAGCGGTGGCTTGCTAGCTTTTGTGCGGCTTCCCCAGGTCAGTGAAAACTTTGAAAAGAGAAATGAATGAACTTACCAGGTTGCCCGATCTCTTCACATATCTTCCTCCAAGCTCGGTCCTTTTTATTCCTGTCTCGGTACAGAAAGCAGCTGGTGTCGTACAGCTCCGGGTTGTTTGCTACGGCGTTGATTAGCCTTCCCTCCATTGAAGAATGAAGGGCTCTGACTGGATCTGCCCCTTTGACCTAGGTCACAGCCACGTCACCAGGCTCCTGATTGGTTGTCGTGGCGCGATTTGACGCTGGAGTTCAGATTTTTCCAACTCGAGCGGTAGACACGAAACGCGCGTATGCACAAAATGCAACACAAAAACTCATGCGCTTGGTTTTTTTCGCGAGTCAAACGCGCCAGACGCGCTACACTGACGCGCGTTTCACGCGTTTTGGCGACGCAAATCTGCTTCTGAATTTTCACGGGACCTGCAATCGCGTGTCATCGCGCTTTTCCATTGACTTTACATGTAAACTTGACGCTCTGTTCGCATCTATCGCGTTCGGTGTGAACACACCGTAAGACCCGACCTTCACCGAGAGGTGAAGTCTAAGACATAGACAAACAGGCACACACAGACACAAACATGCATTCCTGCCCTCATGCACACATATACCAATACTCAACACTCGCCCACCATTGAGACAAACAGAAATTAACTTTGTACACACACTCCCCAAACATACTCTATACCCTCAGTTCCAGGTGCCATCACACCCAGAGGGGCAATCTACCCCTAGACCCAGGAGATGTTGCCCTTTGCCCTGGGAAGGAGGCAAACAGACTGCTTAAAGTGTATATATTAGGGCTGTCAGTCGATGAAAATATTTAGTCGCGATTAATCGCGTACTTATCAATGGTTAACTCAAGATTCATCCCAAATTAATCACGGACTTTTAAAAAATTTGTTCTAAAGGAACTTAGAATACTTAGATGCTTTTCATGCTTCTAATACCCTTAACAGTATGGGAGTGAACAAATATACTTGCTTTATGCAAATATGTTTATTTTTATTGCAACAATTCAAAACAATCAAAAGTCCAAAATATTCTTTAGAAAAACCTCAAAGGTACTGAATGCTCAAAAATATGCTGAAAGGAAACTTAAGCATACACTCCCACACAACGTAACTGTTTAATTTACCATTAGACAGTTAAGGCTCACAAAACATATTTCCATCTAAGTGTGGGAGACACAGTACACATTAAAAATACAATAAATAAAATGCATATGTAATAATACTTAATACTTACAGTGTCTTTGACTAAAACAGTTTGGCTGTACTTGTTGCTCTCCAGTTGCATTTAGCAGAAGCTGAACAATGCAAGCTTCTTCCTTTTTCAGTTTTCCTAACAAAACATGAACATGGAAACACCACAAAGGAGAAAGGGAAGAAAGAACTAAAAACATACAGTGCATGGGTTGTCCCTATTACTTTTGTTTCTTTGCACTGAACCAGTTGCTCAAACAGACAAGCATTTTGACATTTTCACTACATGCCCAGAAAGTGTGACCCACCTGACCCCAACGCAGGAAACTACACCCACCCATAACCCCTCACATGGTATGGATGTGGCAGGTATTGCCAAGTACTTGCATGCAAGGTATGCCATCTCACTGTGTGCCCCTTCATGCTTGGGCCACCATTTCTGGGGACAGTCCTCTATGTCAACAGTTGGCTCTGCCCAGTATCACTCCACACATTTCTCAATGCAATCCTCTTCTTCATCAGATGAAGACTGAAGCAAGCATGAGAGCTGATCTTTTCTTAGATGGCTCAAATGTTACTGGTTGTTCAAGCTGCGCAGGCCTCTGCCTCTCCCTCAGCAATGCACTGATCAAGCACCACACCTCAGCCCTGTCAGGTCTGCTCAGACACTTAAGATCCTTAAACCTAGGATCCACACGATGTTAGCTTTTTCCTTGCGCTTCTCCATTTCTGCTTTGAAGGTCACCCTTGAACTTAACCATGTAAGCTGGATCGTCCTCAGAGACCTCCATCACTCGCAACTGGTGACACAAAGCTGGCAACACCACTGAGCAGGAAACAAACTTCTCCCCTCCCTCCATAGAGAAATACACTTCATTAAGAATTTGTTACATTCACTCACATAAGGTTAAAATATTTTACACACACACACACACACACACACACACACACACACACAAAAACATTCCTATGTCAAAAGTGGTAA